TATTATTTTTATTTTTGGTTTAATAATATAATTTTTTTATAAAGATAATAATTAAGTATTTTATTAGAAGTTAATGACTATCCTAATTATATTTTAGATTTTTTATATTTAAAATAAGATTTTTATCTTTTATTTAATTATGTTTATCTGCAGTTAATTACATAAAGCTTTAATAAGTTGTAATTATACATAATTTACTTGTAATCTTGAATTTTAAGTAATATGCATCAATAAACAATACTTCATGCATAAAAAATAATTTTTAAGAGTTTTTGTCAAATGCTTTATAATATAGTATAAATATATAAATCTTGAAATCTTACTAAATGTCTTTTTTTTAATATAACATCCTCCTTAAAACAAAAAAAAAAGGTGATTTTCTTTTGTTGGAAAAATGGCATATATCACATGTTATAAAAGAGAAGAAGTCAAGTGGATGTCCTTTTTACACATAATGGTTGAAGATTATTATGTAGAATGGTTGTGTACCATAACTTTTATAGTTGTAGAGAATAATAAGTTTGGAACATTTTTTTAATTTGTTAATTAGAAATTATATATATATATATATGGTTAATTAGAAATTTGTTTTTTCATCCAATCTTAAACTGTTTCATAATTCAAGAACATCAAATTTATTTTAATGTTTACACTTATGATGTATATTAGTAGGAAAAACCATCTATATGTTTACTTGGGTAATGTTTACTCGTAAGACCATAAAAAAACACTGAAACTTTACAACAAAACGTTGTGAGGTAAAAAAAACTCTAAATCTTTACAACAAAAACACTGTAAAATTACCTTTACAATGTTATTTCGATGGTATCATGGGTCTCATGAAAACAATCGATAATATATTCAGTAAGAAAGGCCTAATTTTGCTCACACACAAAAAAGGAAAAAAAAAAACCAAGTGATAGAAGACGACTAATTTTGTGATAGAAACTTGTCCACGTGGAGGGGTTTAGATTGGTTTTAGATACCGTAGAAGCTTTTTAATTTTATGCGATTTAATTATATATGTAGAGATATGAATTAACATATAATGAACTCATTAAGTTGTACAGTGTTTTCGTAAGTAAAATGTAGTTGAATTTTAATGGCATCTAAAACCATTGAATACGTTACTATGTATCATATAAAAAAAATACATGGTACAAAATATTAGAGTCCAATTTCCTCATTGTTTGTTAATAATATTTATTGATGTATTATTTCTTCATTAATTATACGTAACTAATAATTCATTATATCATTCATTATCATTTCTTTATAATTAACAAAGGTTAATTACTGGCAAACTCCAACCGGTTTCACAGGAAACCCACCTTCAAAGTGTGGAGGAGTAATTTTAATGCTCACTCTACGGATGAGGAGAGGGGGTCTAGGATGGACCCTAGACTTGTTATATATTTGGGTAAAGTTTTCTCACTTCTTTGCCAACTGAGTTACATGTTAGAAGTATTTTTAAATAGTTAATAATTTATGATATTTAAGGGAACATAAACTTATGTGTATAGACTTGGGATCATATGAGACCAAGTCGTTTTTACGAGTCCCGTGAGACCACATAAATATCGCTGAATTTTCACAGTGTTTATGCTGTGAAGTTTCGGTGTTTTTCGCACTTACCTTCACAGTTCACCGTGTTATGTTGTGAAATTTCGGTGTTTTCGTGTTTCACAATATTTTACGGTGAAGTTTTAGTGTTACTTTGTGGTCTCATGAAAACAGATTGTTTTTATGTGAACTCAACCCTACATATATATGTGTGTGTGTGTATAGAGGATCAATTTCATGGAAAAAAAACACTAAATAAGTGAAAACCCAGAAAACCACCAAAAAAATAAATGAAAAAAATATATCAATATGGATATCATTTTAACGACAAAAATATGATCGTTATTTTAGTGTAATTTATTCCTCTCAATTTTTTTTATTTTTCTTCTTTTATGGAGCTGGAGTGTTTTTAATTAAAATATATATATATATATATATAAGGTTTTTTTTTTTTCATAAGACCATCTATATAACACTAAACATTTACAGTGAAAACACTGTGAAGTTGAGTTTTTAACCTTCATAATGTTTTGTTGTGAAGTTTCAACTACTATTTTGTGATCTCAAGAGTCTCACGAAAATAAGCTGGTTTCGTATAAACCTAATATATATAGGTCTTGCTAAAACATATTATCTTACCCAAATGACTGATTTCTTCAACTCGTCTGAATCGATCAGTACCAGAAGAAAAATATTATTTTAGAGAGTTTGCTTCTTCTCAATGTCTTTTTTGATCATACATGTCCTATTTTTAAATTTTGCCCAACTCTTTTGTTTTTCATAGGGCACAAACTTATAATACTATGTTTACTAACTATAACTTAATTTATTTTTGAGTTTATTCAATTTTGTAAGTTATGGGGCCTTTTTCATCTTTTTTCAATTATGTTATTCATAATATTTCAATCAACTATTTAACACGTCCTTTTATATGATTTTATTTATTTATCATTTAGCTTATGTAAAATCTCATATTAGTTGAGAAGGGGAAATAAATGTTATCTTATAGGGTACTGAATACCTATCTATTATACACGTTTTTAAACCATTGTGAACACATGAGATAATATATAATACAATTAGCTATATGTCACAACTTATCAGTTACATTAATTCCTTTTACTATTGGATAAATTGCATGAATAGATAATGTATTTTGCATTAATTCCTATTTTGTTACCTAAGATGTGAAGTTTTCAACATTTAAATACTTTGGTAACTGGTTTAAACATTAGCCAACTACTAATACTGATGTGTCATCCCACTCAATATTATTTGTTGACG